CCCCAAAACCCCAAAACCCCAAAACCCCAAAACCCCGTTTTTTAATATTTGAATTTAATATTTATGATAGAAATTATATTAGATAATCCTTGAATCTTATTCCACAAAAATACTAATCTACATGAGTACTTGTATTCAATCAAAATCTTCATCCTTCCAATCCAGATTAATAACTTATTTTGATGCCTTCCCAATATTTCTTCTTTTTCCCTTTCCGAGTAGAATAACTCCATCATCGTCTTCATTATCATTATCATTGTTTTAATCTTGGCCATTCTTTTTGTAATAGTCTATATCTAGAATATCCTCTTATCTCTTTCCTTTGAACATTTGATCGGCTGCCTCTTGAAGTACATTCAAGCATCTGTTCATTCTTTGTTTATCCATTGGTGTTTTTCCTCTATTGAGAGTTTACTCCTGAATCTAATGATCCTTTTTACCTTTTTCTTCTTTTTCTCTTCTTAAGATGTCTCTTTATATTTTTAATCTTCTTTGCCTCTCCTCTATTGATTCTTTGTCAATTTATTATTTTTCCTCCTCCTACTATTAAGCAGTAGTCTCAACTATTTCAGGCTCAATTATCTTTTCTACTGGAGCTTTTTTGATCGAGATTTCTTATAACGGCTATACCTTTGCGAACATTTGTCTCTGCCTTAATTCTGCAATCTTTTTATCCTCTTTTTCTTTTCTTTCCTTTTCCAATTATTCCTACATTTTTTAAACTTCTTTTTATTCCTCTATCAATTTATACATAAGCTCTTCTTACATAGTCTTTGATCTTTCAAATTTCTATCTTTCTTCTTCCATTTTAATAGACTCCTCTAGGACAAATTTTAGGACGTCATCTTCTTCCTATTACTGCTTCCTTTTTCTATCATTCTCCTCCTTTTCTGAAAGTTCTAACATTTTTTTAAGTAGTAACTCTTCTTACTCTTCCATTGCTAGCTTGTGCTATAACCTTTTTTCTGATTCTTCCATAGATTCTTTCAAAGCTATATCATATAAGTCTTCTTCTTATTGTTGCATTTTAGTTTATTTTAATATTTTCTGAATATCTTCATTCATAGTATCAATTGCAGTAGCTCCTTGACTTTTTTACCTTTTAACTTATGATACTGGAGCAGAATTGTATTTTTACAGAGATAATTGATCCTCAGTCTAAGAATCTAGCATTTGATTAGTCTCGCTCATAAATAATGTAAAAACATCAAAATCCTCGACTGCATATAAATACTAAACAACTTCCTCGGTCAAATCACTTGAGTATATCCCACTCATTATGTCATTTAGTATATCTCTTTAAACATTATACTTCTTCAGAAAGGCAATGATTAATTTATTGATAAGATTCTTATATTCTCTGAAAATTTGTCTTTTTTCTTTGTAGGCTTATTCCTCATCTTCGTCGAAAATCGCAAATATAATACAGAATTCCTCTATAAATGATTTAATTGGGACTAAGAAATATTGTGACTGTAGAAATCTAGCCATTCATCAGCACTATGTTTCTCTGTACTCTTACTCCTCCATTTCAATAAGAGATTTCATTTTACTTTTAAATTCAATTTATAAAAGCAACTCTTCCTTGTAACTTTTAAACTTTGGGGTTTTGGGGTTTTGGGGTTTTGGGG